TGTGTAACACATGATAGCGACAATGATCAATTAATTTTTTGTATAGGAGGTAGGATATATATATCCATTAGTAAATAATTAATATATTAATAAAAAAAATACTAAACATAATTAAAAAAAGTGCAATATAGTATAACTCTCTCTAATTACACTATCAGAATCATAGTAATTTTTTAAAAAGATGCTTATAAAGAGTTGTGCTTATCATTAAATAGATGTTTTTTCTCTATATGTTTATAATAGTTAGGAGTACTTATAAAGAGAATTTTTATAGGATACACTTATATGGGAAGTGCTTATGAATAGAATTTTTATAGTATGCACTTATATAAGAGATAACTTATAAAGAGATTTAGCTGTATATACAAATAAATAAAAAACTTGTATAGTTAATAAAAAAATATATATAAAAAAGCACATAATTAATAAAAAATGTATAATAATGTATATAAAAATTTTTGTAGAATGTAAAAAATTCTTATGGATTTTTACAATTATTACATAGTACACATCTACATCTTTATATATGTTGTGCCTCAGATTAATTCTTGCCTCAGATGTCGATCGCCCTAAATTAGGGTTAGAGTTGTGGTAAGAATTAGGTTGTAGTTTAGGCCAATTAATGTCAATCAGTTAATGCTGGCCAAATGATCAACACCTGAGGTGCCTCAGTTATTACCTGAGGCAAAAATTGATCTGAGGCACAATATATATATAGTAAATTCTTTTTAGCAAGAACAAGCATTAGAAAAGCAGTTAGTTTTTAAATAGTGCCAACTATTTAAATGATAGTTTTGAGATGGCTAATTATTGCTTGATAATTATAATTTATTAGATCACCACTATATAATTACAATATAATAAATAATTATACTTAACCAAGATATTATTGCTATTATTATTTTGGTTTGAAAATGAATTTTATTATTTATTATTTATTTAAAGTTTAGTCTAATAGAACTATATTAAGAGTAGTATTCAAAAAAGTTAAATCGAGTTAGATTTAGATTTTGTGCAGATCCTAACTATTAGATTAGTTTTGGCCCAGAAAATTCAGATTGGGTCAGATTGAGCGGGATTGGAACTAATTTTAGATCATATCTTTATATAATTATTATATGAGATAAAATCAAATTTATCAAATAATAAATTTAAATATATATAATAATTTATATGATATATTTAAATTTATCAAATATATTGTGATACAATTTATATGCCAAATTTTAGATTAATTGCAAATTAGCATAGATCGCTCTCAGATCAAATCCAAATTTTAAATTCAGATCAGATTTGGATCAATCTTGAATCAACTAGGATTTTTAATTCAATTTCAAATACTAATTAAAAGAAAGATATTTTAAGATTTTATATAGCTTAATTTGACTTGCTGGGTACCAATTTTTGTATCTTATACTGGTAACAACTTGATATGAATTAATATTAGACTTTTTTTGAATGACTTTGCATAGTAAGAATCTTTGGCTCATTTTGTTCTTATTAATATCAGATATACAAATTTTAACAGATTCACTAGGTTTGAATATTTGGTTATATTTAGTTTTATATTTTTTCTTTATTTTGCTTTTATAAGCTTCTATCTTCAACTATTTTTTGTATAATAAAACAATACCATATATAAATTTTCTTATTTTTTTTAATAACTAGTCTCTTTGGAACTAGGATTTTTTATTCAGAAATGCAGAACAAGGAGTTTATCAAGAAACCCTTACATTAGATGAGTACATACTAGCCACATATATACTTTTGGTATTTATTTAAGTAGTTTGTATATTTCTAAGTTCTGTACTAGATACTGTATCTGCAACCCAACTATAGGTATTATCTATTTAAATCCTCTGTAATGTACTTCTACCTGTATCACCAGGATATCACTGATACAATCATTAGTCAAAAAGTCCTGAATACATACTATACTCTTAAAACTAATTTATTCTCGAAGCATCATTTGCTAGAGCTTTCCATATCTACAATCTGGCTAACTTAGACTTCAGTTAATATACATAGCCCAAGGTTCACTGCTTGTAGCCAGTTTCTATAGTAAAAGTGTTCTTTGGCTAGTTTGTTCTTACCAGTTTTTTTTGTAACATTTTTACTGACTATGGCTTGTTCACTACTACACAACCTACTTCTGCCTTTATAAAGTTCATACAAACTCTGGTACATACTTTAAAGACTATTATCTGTTACTTGTGACAATCTCCAAATTACCAATTCAGATGGCCTGAAAGGGTGGAAAGGGTGAGAGTAATTGGGCAAGGAAGACGTATAAGTGCCATCATGGTGAAAAATATGTACCAAAAAAAAGATTGGATCCTACACAAAATAGAGACTGAGAATAAGTCCGTATTGATTGTGGGTTTACAGTAAATGCTTCATATTGTAAATCTGAGAACCTAGTATTTGTTAACAAATTTGTTAATGAACATAACCATCCATTACAAAACCAGGATCCTCTTCAAGAATTCTCACCAGCATTACGTAGGATATCAGACGATATAATGAATGAAATCAAATTTTATGTACAAGAGTGTCAATTAGAGGCTACTGTTTTAAAAAAGATATTAAGAAAAAAGTATCAGCATCAGGACATTTACCGCCAAGATCTTTATAATACGATACATAAATTTAAAGCTGGTTCTTAAGTTAAAAATGATGCTGCGACACTTCTAGAACATTTAATTAAATTACATTCGGAGGATCCTGAATATTATTTCAAA